CCCAATGGCTATCGGTGTTCTCTACAGTCATGATTCCCTGAGTCACCTTTATCCTAATCCATGCACGACAATCTTCTTCATGTTTCCCTTCCCTTCCCTCTGGTAAAATCACACTATATGCTAACAACTTTCTGTCTCTTTCCTCCCCTATCAGCCATGCCCTGATCTTGGCCCTGCCCTTGACCCGCTTCCCTCTTTCGTCCACGCTTTTTCTGCGGTGATTCACTGTCCGTCTTTCCCTGAACATCGATTTTGTTCTCTTGTGTGTTCCGAAGCGTTCCAATCCTGTACAAGTCTCGCAACCCAGCCGCAAATACTTCCAGGTGCTGAGTCGAGTGTGTCTTCTCGGGAAGAAGTGGTTTCGATGGGACTTTGCTCGCCATGATCTCATACACCTCGATAACTCTCTGTGCCAGCGTGGCTGCAGACCAAACATCATCGTGATTCGCGTGAATATATTGCTTGGCGACTTCACTGCATCTCTGCAACAATGACCAGCAGCTGTACGTTCCAACCGGGCGATTGCTTGGATTTATGTTCGACGATTGACGGACTGGGAGAAGTACCAGTGGAAAAACTAACTTCCGAAGACCGAGCGATGTCTCCTTCAGCGTCTGTCGCTGCTCGAAGAGTGTATCCCGTAGCTCACTGTGCTTTGCGACCATATTTACTAGCTCCCAGGTTTGGATTAGAAGCGGGGAGAGTTCGATGTTTTCGACGGTCGTGTCTCGCATGATATCTGCAATGAGGTCGAGAAGCATACTTTTGCGGAGAAGTTGGTCGAACCCGAATGTAGACGTCCCATTTCGAGATACCGTGGCGTTGAGAGTTGTTAGGGCTTGGAGGAGCACGGGTTGCACATCTCTGGCGTTGTGAAGCGATGTGAGATATGGAGAAGTTTGACGATAGCTAATCACGGCCTCGTCGACCGAGCATAGAGCGTACCAAGCGACACGAGTATCGGAGAAGGTGCATTGCTTCAGGTGCGGAGCCTCACCACAAGCGAGACAAGTTCCAAAAGAGCAGTTTACACACGTGGCAATGTGCAGATGCGATTGGGTTTTCTTGGAGTAAGGTGTAACTAGTCTTGGTGGGCGTTGACCGGGTGCCCAGGTTTCTGAAAGTCTGTATCTGTAGGCCATCTTGCATTGGCGGCAAATAATTGTTGGTCCTGCATCAATTACAGGCTGAACTCTTGGCTTCGATTTTTGGTGTGAGGTTGTCTGCTTGGGTCGACGATTTGATTTTGGGGTGTTGCGCTCTACGACCATGCTCCCATCGTCGCCATCGCCACTTTGCTCATTCCAAGCGTCTTCGAAGTCCTTTTCCAGATCCTGTACAGCATGTCAGTAGGTAAATATGGGATAACGGTAGTGGTATTAATTTACTTCTGCAAGATCGAGGTCGAAAGAAGCCTTGTCGGCAGTTTGAGAAGTTGCATGATGTTTACCCAACTTCAGATTCTGAAGTCTGACAGCAAGCGGGGTGGTCGAGTCCAGAATAGACTGTTTAGGAGCCTTGACTTGAGAGTGCGCGTTACCAATGGCTGATTTGGTATTCTGGCTCATGGGTGGCTTTAAGTTCACAGTGAACTGTCTGCCATTGAGTGACATGGGAGAGGGAGCCGGCATCTCTGACTGTAATTCGTATTCGTAATCCATGTCATTTGGTTCTTGGAAAGAAGAGTCGAAGGAGTTACTCATGATGATATGATGTGGTGGTGAAATTTGTGATTGAAATCGGATCTTGTGGATGAAGATGAAATGTGAAGACGAATCGTTGTCGATATTGGCTATTGACTCTTAAAAGTTTTGTGTATGATGGAAGAAAAACATGATCTCAGGTGCAAAACAAGTCTGCTTATGAACACTTCCTACTACGGCTTCTATGTTCTCAGATACAGCAGCACCGAGTGAGCCGTACGGGTTAGACGCAAGTTTATGACTAGAAAATAGCTATAATTAGCTACATTTAAGTTGTGAAGTACGGTAGCTATCTTATTACGGTGATTAGCGCGAATTAGCTGCAGTCTAGTTATGAAGTACGGTGGTGATCTCGCTTGTTTGTATTTTCTTGTCATACTGATTAGCCGCGAGTTAGATACATCTAATCTGAATAGTACGGCAGCCATCTCGTTTTATTATCCATTTGGTTGTACTGATATACTGTGAACATGAGTTCCAGAATTAATGGACAGAAGCTTGAAGGATTATGTTTTCCAAGAAAGGTATATCAATAAGGAAAGAATCGAGTCTCTCCCATATCCCTGTCTGTTCCCTCTCTACCTCCTCCCTTACGACCCTTTTCTGATCTCCTTTCCACCACATCATCCCTCGTATCTAGTCTAGTTGTAGGCCCCCCAAGATACAAGCAAAGAACGTAAAGGGCACTTAATCTCGTAGCATTATCCTTGCATTTCGCAATTGCGCATTAATTCGTCGTTTTTGCCGGTGTAGAAGTAACCTTCGTGGTAAGACATTATCACTACCTGCTTCCCTGTTGAACGTAATATGCAAAGATGATGTGTTGATGAAGATGTTAGCTGCGCTCATCAAAGGTTTGGGGCTATCTCATGATTGTATATATCTCCATGCACTGACAAGAAAAAGTAAACCAAAATCGTATATCATCGAAGAGTTACGCAGATTTTCGTTGGTAGTGCTACAAGGTGGTTGGAGAATAAAGTGAAAGCTTGATCACTCACCTGATAACTTGGCCTTGCTTTTCGGGGAGGCTCAAGAGAAAAACCTTGTAAAAGACACCATGGGTCACCATATCTTTTGTCAAGTCGACTGATCGATTCCTAAGTGCTGCGATTTTCCTTCCGCTTTATTTCCATGCGAGACTTCACTGAAATGATCTCCGGCTGCGTTTAAATTGTGCTGCGTGCATCCTTCGAGTAAATGAATTGTGGAGGGTTCGATTGAAAAGTTTTGGTTGAGTTTCCGCGGCCAACAAACCCGTTCTTGCAATTTAAGGAGGAGTTTCTGAGTTGGAAGGATGCAAACATAGTTCGATGTTTGTTCTGTGGTAGTGTGGGTAGATAAGTTGCAGTTTGCTTCATTGCTGTATGGGTCTTTAATACTGTAATAGTTTAGCGATTTGGGAGGAATGGAAGTGCAGTAGTTGTAAGGCATCTGATACGGCCCCTGTAGTATTTTATGAGTAAATATGGTATCATGTGAGCATTTCACTTCCTTTCTATCTTTTTTAGCAGTATGTAACTTTTCCATCATTATTTCGGCTTGAGAGATGATCAAATTTATGTATATTTCATACAGTTAAAGACGCAATAATGACTCATAATACAAGCAGTTACGTGTAGCATGACCAGTAGCTGGCACTTTGTGTGGTATGTTATTTTTCCCTTGGAAATCATGATGCTGTTTTTGTGGCTTGGCAAACTAGGGCAGTTGTTGTAATTAGTAATTTCAATATTTTGTATACGCCCCACTTTAGTGGTGCGTATTACATATTTTGAAGACATTGAGATATGGAGTATTAGATTCTATATTACTGAAAATATGAAATATTTGAATAATATTGTATATTACTGGCAGGATACTGAAATACAATATGATTGGTTTCAAGTTAGTTTGTATTGTATTACACAATATTCTGTAAAATCTCAATATCATCATTTTTTATATGAAGGGATTCAAATCATCGATTATTTGTATACGATACTCTTTATAGAATTTTCAATTAGACTTAGTATATTGGATTTAGTTTGTTTAATAGGTTTTTGTGAAGGATTTGAGTTTTGTTATTTGTATTTGGGTATATTATTATCATTTGGGGTTAATATTTATAGATGTAAACAGTACTGAGTTTTATATGTATTGCTATAAATGATATAGCCTTGATATCAGCCACCGTTTTACTACCATATACTAATTACAACACTGAGCTAGGTAATCTGGCTCCGAAAGGTTTACGAAACAGCAAATATGGTATAGCATCATATCAATCCAGGTGAAGCCTTACAAACTAGAAATATATTCAATACCGTGTTGAATTTGATAAATTAGCATCTTAGATGCTTGGCCAAAAGTGAATTAGTTGTTTTTTCAAAACTTCGTGATTCCTCGCCCAGCATGTGGTAATGCCATCTTTCTTTCGATTGTCGCTTGCTATGGGTGATCATTTTGATGATTACTATAATCTAATGACAGCTAGTTATACGCCGAGGAGCTCGTTGAATGGGTTAATGTATTGTGCCAATGCATGGTGCGTCTACCAAAACATTTGATACTCGCTTAGAGTGAAAGATTAATTGGTTGCCAAAGAAAGGGGTAAAAGTCGAGTGGCGTGGAATAATGATATGTACAAACAATCAGTGACTAAGTATAAATCAGATTTGGTCAATACTGGCCTCTTAACTGTAAATATTTGTCATGATTTACCCAATACCAGTCATTTGATTTTGTAGGAAAAGTGGATTGCTTCTACCAGCCATAGCACCTAATAGCGCTATTTATCAATGATTATGCGTAAGTGTAAAGTTCATGGCATATCACATGGTGCTTGAGATTGTATATATAGAACACACATAGAATGAGACAAGTTTGTAGTAAGGGCGGTGATAACAGTGATTGATTGCAAGAGGGAAATATCTCAGCCCTCAAGGCAAATATATCTATTTTTTGAGACCATATTCTCAAACAAGCCAAGGTTGAGAATACTATATATAGAACAATATTAAATTTTTGGGAGATAATTCATTTGATTTTGAAGTCAAAATCTTATCAGTCTTGTTATATTCAATTATATAATTCACACTTCGAAGACAAATTATGAATGTAAAACAGGAAGACCAATCAGCTCTGTATCAAGGCTAGGCTCGGCTCCGAGCTAGCTTTATAATAAACAAAGCTGTAGTAGTAGTCAAGGCGGTGTATAGATAGTTACCTTAACATACCTGTTTCATTGGACATGATAGTTGAAAGGCTGGACAGGGCGGCACAATATCATCTAGACAATCTGGTTAAAAGAAATTCCTCCTCCATCAAAACACTCACCAAATCTTTACTTCTTGACAAATCTGCAATCATTAAATCTTTCATATCATCAACCATTTTAACCAACTACAAAAAGTCTAAAGAACAGCAGAATCAACAATGACTTCTCCAGTTACCAAGGTCGAATTTCATTATTCTCCCCCGATTCCAAGGGAAGATGGCCACATTTACCACATGCCCAATTTCCCAACCGGATTGGGCGCCGAGAATCTAGCCAGAGCTAGAAACACAGAAGTACCCAGCTTATTGAACGACGCCATCGGGTACTTGACAGCAGAGGAAGATCGATCGATCCAAATGACTCGAGTTCCGCCTAATCAGAAAGTATTCGTCAACAAAGACGAGAACGCCGTATTTACAGCTCAACAGGTTGACTCTAAAATGATAAAAGAGGAGCTTCCCAGCTGGGTTATGCCTGAAATACTAAAGCTGCGAGAGTTGTTTCTCCGTCGTGGAGAAGGGAATGACTCTGATAAGAGTAGATTTGAACAGATCCTCAGAGCTGGAAAGCAAGGAAAGGATCGCGTTTACCCGATGGCATGGTCCATTCCCCCTCAAGGGGATAGCGTGGGTGTGGCCACAACTTTAAAAGGTCACATTGAGCATTGTGATGAGCTTGCGGCAGCCACGCGAATGATATCAAAAATTGGACAAGCGATAATTCGATACGTTACTCCTGCCGAAGAACTCAGAGTGGTCGAGCTGCAGTCTGAAATCGATGCAGCATTCACAATGGGCGATGAAGAAAATAGAAATTTCTGTAAGTCATGGTTAACAAAACACTTTCCTCTTATGTAGTGGCATTGCTGACTATAGAAAAGCATCTATACAGGTCAACTATGCCAATGTAAACACGGTTGCTCTGTCAGTTGAGATGGGCAAGTCTGGATCGCTGCATATAGACGCCAAGGATGATCCCGCACGAATGTCGGTTCTCTTAAATATCTCCAACATTCCAGAGGGCTGCTGGCCTCCAGTATTCACGATACTTTCGCTCCGCGACTACTGGGTATTTGCACCATGTGATGCTATTGTCTTCAGAGCAAAGCATCCTCATCTCAGCACTGGCCCTAGGATGATGGGAGATTCAAAGAGGAAACCTTATATCTCACTCCCGGATTGGCTTGGATGGACCCAAAGCTTTACATTTGGTCTAGACTAATCCACGTCTTGTACCCACAAAAGTATCTAATGAATCGTGGGCCGTTCCTCAACTGGCACAAAATGCCAGAATATTATCAAAGAGAAAATCCAATGGCCACCACCTTTCCTCACGGAGAGGCCTTCGCGCTTGCAGCATGGGGAACACAAAGAAACCAGCACGAGAAAATTGCGATGCAAGACGCCTTTCATCTTGCACGTCGCCATAGCAGCGGTGCACTCATTAGATTACCTTCGGCACAATCAATTGCAGACAGAGAGGTATGGAGAGACGAAGATGGTAGCCTGCAGACACCTCGAGTGGAGAGGATTCAAATGGTATTAGACGGCAACTCCGCGGGATGTCGAGACTCCGAGCAAGCCAAGACCTTCGCTAAACTTCAACAATTAGCCGAAGCTTCTTTTTCTCAGAAGTACTTCGCTAAAAGATCGAGCCATGCGAGCGCCAACTATGTCACTGAGATTGGTTCCTCGCTTCCGAACAGGCCGTTAATTGTTGTTCCCAAGAAGTCGCTCACGATAGCTGCTATTCACGGGACGTTCGGTGAGAGGCCTTTCAAATGTCCCCTATGTGCTCATAGATCCCCAACACCAAAGGCCTTGACAGCCCATTATAAGGGAATTCACAAGCATGACAGTGTCGGAGAAGTCGAACCAACCAGGGATCCGAATCACATCCGTCAGCTACAAAGCGCAGGGTTCTTGAGTACGCCTGAAGCTGCTAGTCGACGTGAGAAGCGTCGAAGAGTGTCAAGCGAAGAGGGTGATGCACCGCCAGCACAAAAGATAAAGGCCGAGGATTCAGACGGGGCCATCATAATCTCTGATGATGAAGATTGAAGTTTTCGGGCGCTAGGCAGCAGAATCGTGGGATGTTGGCTGGAAATGATTTCGACGGGGACGCCGCTCTCAACTTTAATTTTCAAATCGATAATGATAACGAGAAGGTTAAACTATATGGTGTACGCCCATCCCGGACTCGAGGAGGAGCATTCAGATATCGACGTTGGCGAAGAAATGTGATGGTGATACGGGCGGAGCATTAGATTAGGGAGAGAGATATTGGCTGATCATTGCGATAATTGATGTTAGTAAACTGAGGGAGTCATTATTTAGAGTTCTCAAATATGGAAAGTGTAATCAAAACATCCTCATACCAAGAATCCAAGATTCCCTAACATTTCCAAATGAATCATGTCGCGGTACCAACTACAACTAGTCCTGCCAGATCATAACGTCCCACCACCCCCTGAAGTCTCCCCAAGAAGTAAAATCCCAGACCATAATCACTCTATCCTCAAGCCAATACATCTCAACACTCCAACTCTCATTTCAAACCAGAAAAGCAGAAGGGCCCAACCACTCTTCCAATAAATAAAACACTCTGCCAACCTGTCCAGATATTCCTAACAAGCTGGATGCAAAAGCAAACAATCAATCCCTGGCCCTACCAGACAAGCATCTTCAAACACCTCGCAATTCTCCAACCCTCCAACCCACCAACCAAGAAAAAAATCCATAAAAAACATATCACCAGTGAAACTTCCCCATTATGATTATAAATTTATAAATTTACAATATACCCAGAAAACTACGAGTACTCGAGTACTGTTACTCTAGAAGAACAGAAAGACAGACAGGACCACTACCAGCCAGCTTTCTCAAACTCAAACTCAACTCCTATCTTATCTTCAGAGTTGTGTTGTGTTGTTTTGGGTTGGGTATAGTAGATAGTTAGGAACTTAGAACAGGCGTGTCAAATTTATTAGAATGAATATACTCAAAGTAGTCTATATGAATAAAAAGATGGATCAATCCAATCACGTCCGAATTCTCGAACGCCATCTTCCTTGGAGAGCGCAGGACAGGAAAGAGGAGGTAACATTCAAAAATCATATGTTTTCCCTCTTCCCCTTCTTCCCCTATTGCACACACGCCTCCCGCCCGCACCCCAAAAAGGCAAGACTTTAACTTCTTATCTTCGTCTTCTTTTCAAGCATGGTCAAATGCTCGAGTAGATTTGCAAGACAAACCTTCCTTTCCTTCATGAATCACTTCACTTGATTCCGAGTCTATGTTCCGAGTCTAGGACTAGAGCCGGACTAGACTGGACTAGATGATATGCATACACACACACACACATACACACGAACATCCCATCCACCAGACAAGAAAAACGCAGATATTTTAATATATTTTCTCATTTTTTTTTGTTTTTTTCAAAGAACGCCCTCACCTCACCGAGTGACCCCGATATAACGAGAGTGTTCTTTCTTTCTTTCCTAATCTATATTACTCATAATTATAAAGCTCCACCCCATTTTGATAATCTACAATCCACCCCATCTCCCCCCATCTCCCCCCAAACCTACCCCGCCTTCATATTTATGTACCCACGCACATCCCAAAAAAAAAAAGCATTTCATAAGATAAAGTGATGCGCACCAACGTTTCCTTTCCCTTCCCTTCAACAATCATCAATATACTCATTTTACTTTTCATTTGCAAAGGAAAAAAACAACTCATTGGTGAAACGAATGTAAAAACAAAATCAAAGCAAAAGTTTCGTACTCCGAAGCAATGCATGTACCAAACCAAAGCACTCACTCCACCACCCAAACCTGAAGATATCATGAATTCATTGAGACCGCGGATTGTCTTCATGGAGGGCATTGATATTGACAGATACCTCCTCTTATCTTTATCTGGAAAGGTCATTGAGGGCATAGGTGTGGTGTTCTAATGGAACAATGTACCACCAAGAAGTAAAAACCCCGCCGGCTGGTCATTTAGGCTTCCGTTTCTTCTTGCTCGCGCTTCTTGGCGCTTTCTAGCCAACGTCTTTTTCCAGAACGAGTGTCGAAATGAGGGATCGCAGTGACATCTCTTCCTGCAATGCCGATGTTTTCTTTGACCTTGTTGCGCCACGCATCAACTGTATTATATGATTAATATATTTTCACTGACTAATAGCGACTAAAGGAACAGGGAATAACTCACGAGCTTTTTGCAAGAAGATTGCCTTGTTTGCGAAGACTCTACTTTGATGCCAAGCCATTCTGTATCCCAAATCGTTGAGCTTGACTTCCAAAGCTCTCTGAGGTTTGCGCATTCGGGGAACCGGAATCTCGCCTTCGTTGCCGTCTGGCAATTGAACAGAAAACATTTTTCTGCCACGTCGAGAGCGACCTCGACCTCCATCAACTTCATCATCGGTATCATCCTCTTCGAAGAATCGACTGCCGTGCGCCGATGGAGGACGTGATTGCATTTCCAATGGGAACCAAGAACGTTGGTAGACCGAGTTGCTCTTTCGAAAGGAATCTGGAATTTCATTGATATCGACCGTGTCCAAGGTAACGCGGACACGAACACGACTTTGCTTAGAGGGATCCTCAACCAAGAGAAACTTACGCTTTTTGGTTTCAGGAACATTGCCAAAAACATCAACGCTGTCGTCATCGTCGGATTTAGATTGTGCGGCAATTGGGTGAGCCGAACTAGGCAAAGGACGCCCGCCATTATCACCTGGAGCCATGGTAGCCCCGCCTACTGACATATTTGAAGGGTAGTTGCTGGAATAGCCGGGGAAGGCTTGGTTCTGTCGCACATCATCTACTGGATTGGCAGATTGGTTATTCGGAGCTTGATGGTGATGGTGAGTGTGTCCGTCTATATATTCTTCGTCACCTACAAATGGGTTTATTGATTAGCCTCTCAGGTTTATCCGGGAAGCAAAACAATAACAATACAAAGCAAGCAATGGGGAGTAATACAATAGTACAAAGACATAACAACGCAGGGTAATGAGTAGGTATCGCGGCAGGCAGAAAGCAAAGTGCAATGTTGTATTATACATGAAAGTGCTTTTGTGACTAGTCACTTCAAGGCCCCAAAATCCCTCCAATCAAAAGGTATATTCGCAAGAATGGTATCATAACAAAATAATAATAATCGCACATCACATCTGGTGAAACATACCGACTTCTTCTCCTCCTTGATTACTTCCATCGGGATGAGCGTGGTGGTGATGAAGCTGTGGACCACCCATACCGCTAAGGTTGGGTTTACCCATGCTTCCCGCACCACCGGGGCCCATGTTCGCAGATGGTGGCATCCCTGTCGGACTAGGACCAGTCATGTGAGGGTTGTGCGAGGTAGCCGCTTGAACCGCTTTACGATTGCTAATTTTAGCCATTCTTCGTACTCTTCGACTTCTCAATCTTGGATCTTGGTTACTGTTTCTCCAGCTATCGACCGCTCTTTGTATTAATCCACGTTTGCCACGTAGGCAAGGATTCAATTCTGCCAAGGCCCACCCGACAGTGTTGCACTCCGTTTCGTATACCAATCGATTTCCCCTGTATTGATCCTTGCTGCAGCACGCCCTCGGGTAAACACAATTCTCCGTTTTAAATTCAGGGGACAGGGTCTCAACGTTCACGGACTCGACATCACATCTGATCGTATATTCCATCTTGACACGATCGCGCGAATATTCAAATGCAATCCATTGAACTCCATTACCATCTTGTCGCACAACGAGAGGGGTGGTTGCTGGAATTGGACCTGGCGCAGCGTTGGGGTTAACACCACTGCTGCCACTCCCTGGAGCATTGTTGGGCTGCATTTGAGGTGTACCGTTTGCAGATTGCTGGGGCCCTAATGGTGGATTTGGGCGTGCAATTTGTGGGACGTGTGGCTCCATTTTCGTTCTTGGACTCCCAGTCATACCCGGTTGTTGATGCTGATTAGGGTGCTGTTGCATTGGATGTTGATTTGTCTGATGTGACATGAGCAGTGTTGGCTGCGAAGTCATCGACTGCTGCTGATGATGTTGCTGCTGTTGTTGTGGTGGTGGCTGCTGTTGCGCATATGGGGAAGGACCTCCCTGCTGGGGCATAGGTGGAGGATATTGTTGCTGCGGTGGCCCAGTGTAATACATTTGTGGGTTTTGCTGCAACTGTGCAGACGGCGCATACATTCTTTCATGTGCAGGCGAGGCGACAGAGGCAGGGGAGTTGGACTGGGGAGTCTGGTAAATCGGAGGATACGGAGCTCGAGCCATATGTTGTGTAGCCGCCATAATGTCTGGGGTTTCTGGACCTATGTAATTGTCAGTATCTAGTCTTAAACTCGAGAAGACGCGTTTTTCAAAACATTTTTACGCACCTGCTGATGAATATGGGCCAGATGCGCTTGGTGTGCTGTAAGGACTTGGGTGTGTTGGGTAATATGGAAGCTCTTGATGTTGACCACCAGGTCCTGTCGCAGTATGGGGATATTGAGGTATAGCGTGTCCAGAAGGATACGCGTTAGAGTGTTGTGGTTGGGGAGGAGCTTGCTGATGATGCTGATGCACAATACTCGAAGGTCGCGGTTGTTGCTGGAGATGGTGCGGAGGTGGAGGCCCTTGACCTTGCGGCGCGTGATGCGGATGATGCTGCATTGATGCCATTTGTTAGTGATGTTTCCTTCAACTTTTATGATATATGTAACGTCAAAGATGTAGAGACCATTGAAAAAAGTAAGTCGCGTCGCGATGTATGTTTTGAGACTTGAGATGTATGAAAAGTGGTGGTCGATCCTTGATGACGAGGGTCAAGTGCAGCAGCGCGGTACCTGGAATAAGATCTTCTGACAGGACAGGCGGCGCTCAATAATAGTAAAAAAAAACAGCAAGAAATCTTTAGATGCGGGACTGGGACAAGGGAAAAGAACGAGGGTCTACCTCAGTATAACAGATGCCTTGCTTCTATTACAAAAGTGCTCAGATGAGTGGACAAGGACCGCAAGCGATGAAGGCAATGTCCGAGGGTCCAGTTTTTAAGTAGTGGATCTGACGAGGGTGAAAAGCTTATGAGATGAGGAAGAACAAAGACCTCGAAGGAGCCGGAGAATAATAACAGAATGGGGTAGGTAGAGGATTGATCTGAACGAGGCTAAACGTAGATGATTGCAACAAGAAAGACCAGAAATAGGCAGGGTGATTTGAGTGGTCTAAGATTGGGAAGGTTAAGCTTGAAGAACAAGGGCTTTTGAATGGATGAAATGAAAAGAAAATGTGGAAGAGAGCAAGGGGAACAGAAATGGAAGTTATTCAGTGGAACCAGGACAACGCATGGTATAAACGTGACAAGGTTTATATCGCATGAAAATGTGTAAAAGGTGCGCGAACGTTGCAAGGTGTTGACACCAGATGGGGTATAAGAATTACAAAAGAGTGTGTATCCAGGGGCAAGAGGCAAGGGGGGTGGGGGGCGTTGATGTTCACAATTATTAAGTGCAAGAGAAAGAAAAAAAATTAGAATAAAAATGGTCCGGGTCAGGTTCGGTTCGTTTGGCCCTTAAAAGGCAGCGGTGTGTATGAGAGTGGAGGCAACTAGTCATCCAATGATCCAAAGGCAAGTTGGGCTGGGCTTAAGAATTGAAAGTGGGGCCAGCCACATGAACTTGCGCAGTACTTGTACACTACTATACGGAAATAAATATAAAAAACAATAATCCTCTAAAGTTATTTTCTTGACTCGTTTAGGATAATGAGACGAGTAACGTAGAGAAGATTGTCATGTATATTATATACATTTATTTGACGCAAATTAAAATAATGTTAACTCGCGATAAATAAAGTTAAAGGGACTTCCCTTTCTTAGTGTCGTGTGTCAGGAATACCTATTACTAGAAGGTCTAATTCTTAATATGAGGCGTTGTAACCTTAGCAAGCCACGATACCAAATTATGTCTCCTTAGACTTACTGCAGCCTAGTTGAATATGAGTACCATGCTTATGCTTTGATAATCATCTTCATATTCTTTTTTATCGGCCAACTCGAACCAATACGAAGAAAGCGATACAAAGATCAAACCACCACAGCCAATCAACCACACTGTAGCCATATTTGGATTGACTCTCCCAGAATAAAAGATGAGTAGAGAAAATCAACAACATCAGGTGCCGCTTGTACACTCCAATCTTTTGATCTACATAAACTTCTAGCTGCATACGTGCGCAACATGATAATTTCCATTTTGTACAAAACAACCAATCAAAAATCATACTTTCATTGGTTGCACCCACAACCCCAAAATAATCGGTCAGAGATTAAAGTCACCTTGTCTTGTTGATCTTAACCGTCGAGCGAATGGCTTGGAGGCCGTGCAGAAAATGTGTAGACCCAACTCGCTTCATCGCGTGGGATTGGGCAGCTGAAAACGAGATCCCTTGTTTATTGTGAAACGAGCCTACGAATCCACAATTTGCTCGAGTCCAGCTCAATTTATGTTCTGGAAAATTATGGAAGCCATACTTCCTTGCTTGCTTTTTATGAGCAAGGAGGCTTATCCTTGTAATCTTATCCAAAGAAGTGCAACTTGCGAGTTCTGGAAAGATGTGAAGAGGAAGAAAACAAGGCAGAGCATATATCTTGACTTTAATATGATCGATCATCGGATATGCAAGACGATGACAAGGCCACAATAGGTTGTGTACTTACATGTTCGGTATTCACAGCATTAATATCGGGCTCTTCTTTATATTGACGGTGTGTCATTTTGGCGAGTGATTTCTATTTGAGTTAGCAATTGTTATTTCAAGCCACACAGGACATCAGCCACATAGAAACAATCGTTGGGAATTAATAACTAGTGTTGTAGTCCATGTAAAACAGAGAATATCAATGTATCATGCCATGCGATGCCATGCAACATCCGTGCTTGGAGCAAGATTACAGGAACAGTAGAAAGGGTCCAACTTACAATCAACGGGTGACGACGATTCGGTTCGAAGTCTCGAAGATAGTTGACGCGTGCGACAGATACGATGTGAAACGAGTCCAGTGTATGGTGTAAATCGCGATTTCTGCTTGCTTCTGAATTAGCTTTTATCCTTTATTTCATATTGTCTCAAGCTACAGTATTTCAATGCAATCGTCGAAACAGAAGACAATTCAAAGTGCAAGGCTGTGCAAAAAACATAAATGCCATCGAGTTCGCCAGATTGTCAATTCTCCGAGGAATCCAGTGGTCAATCCCACAGGGTATAAAGACGTTATGATCGATGCAAGTGGATCTTGATAACTGATTCAATTTTGAACGTTATACCCGGATTTGAATGGGGTCAATGGCCTGTTCCTGTGGAGTCTTTGGCCAGGCGAGCATCAGACTGAAAAATCCAAATATCTTCAGCCAGTCGATAAGCCTATTCTGTAACTAAGAAATGGGACCGACCGACACGGATAGAGGATTCGTTTGGTGGCGCACTTAAACATTTTCCGGGCAGGGCATGCTCCCTCGGGTAAGCAAAGAAACTTCTCCATGAACTGGTCACTGGACCCATACCCATTACAGTATAGACAATCTGATCTTGAGAACATAAGAACTTCGTTGCAACTTACAATCCTAATGAACGGCGAAGGTAAGTGGTTGAGTTTGGCGGAAAAAAAGATCTGAATCTCATGTTAGCCATGTTTAGAAGATCACTGAAAGCACCAAGGTACATGCATATGACGCAATACTATGAGTGAGGCTGATAGCGGAAGAACAAGACCATGGCAAGAAGACTAGGTCTAACAGCGAGCGGATGGAGAAATATAATATACAAACATGGGTAGATCGATTGGTAAACCAAAGACGACAAGAACATGCTGATTAGAAATAAAGAAAGGTCGCAACCCATACAAGGGCAATGAAGCTGGTCATCTGCAACAAGCCTTGCAAGCGGATGACACTTCGCCTAAATGTGTGGTGGTGGGGAGAGGCAAGGATGAAGAACGCCTCGCAGTAATGGTTCAATAACAGAATATCGTGGTGGAGAAAATAAAAATAAACCAAAGTCTGTTATCACGTACCTGTAAGATATTTGCTTCTTATCGAATAAATTTTGAGGTGCGTAGAAGGTCCGGCTGGCGTGTAAAGCTGGAGGTGAAGCTGTGGACGGCTTGATTTTCCTGTCGAAATTTTGGTAAGATAGCTATCTCATGCAAAATACCCTGGAAGTAGGCCCTTGCTCTTCTACGGATAAGGAGTCGATGGATTATCTTATCGCAACTGTTCCTTCAAGTATGTTATATGGAGTATTGGTTTGTGGCGGTAAGATCCTTTGAATGACATTTATGATATTCGGAAGCAACTCGATGGGAGGTCGTACTTGGAATGGATGCCTTGTCTGAAAATGAACTTTTGGTCGACCTACTGAGGTAAGTGCAGGATGCAGGTAGGTAGTAGGTATGGGAGTAGGTACAGGACGGAGTGTGATAATATTCCCACGTTGGACTTTCCCAATTATTATTTATGTTATGGATATTCGATTTTTGATTTTTGATTTTCGTTTCTCGATGTTTTCGATTTGATTTGAAGCTCCAATGAAATTGAAGCTGTAGCCGAACTTGCAGACGCAGACCGAAGTTCCAGGTGAATGGTTACAGTTTATGCTCGTCGAGTTTCTCGGGGGTGGATGGCTGCCGCTGGAGATCGTGGGCGGGTATGTAGTAGTCGACTGGGGTATTTTAATCTTTGGGAATATTTGCAGATCGAGTCTGGGTAACACAGAAGGTTAGCATAGTGTAAAGTTTGCATGCAGCTGAAAGAAATTGGCACCGACGATTGCGACAAAAACGAACAAGAAGGAAGAGGTTTGGTGGGAGAGTTTTTCGAGATGATATCGTGATATGTAAATTGCGGTCAAGAGAAATTTCACCTCTGCGCTATGGTTCGAAACGGCGCGTCTTCTCTTTTGTACGAGATTCCACGTTGATGAGTTGTACAGTTGGCGAGTCTTTGGTAACCTGAGCACTTGTGCAAGGTGAAGAATATCGCGAAGGTCGAGGTGGTGGTATACAGAAGTTACCGGCAGAAATCGCTAAACTGTATGTGCCCGCAAGTTGTAATGCGCTTCGACAAATTCACTTGAAGAATTCCAGAGACTCGGTAGGGAAAATAGGTATAGGAATAGAAAAGAGTAATATCTCTCTCACCTTTTGATATAAAGCTGTTATTGCTATACTTTACTTCACTTTAGGTCGAGGACTGTAAATAAATAATTGTATTTTTATTTCTTTGCCAAAGGATGAGTGGGATCAGGTCACTCTCTTTGACTTGTCTGTAAGTTAAGTTAGAATATTAAAGCAAACTGCTTATCGGATTGGGAATTTTACTGTTAGGAAGGAACGAATATGAGGATATTCGTGATTAATATATGATCAAATCACTGCACTGATATTAGTGTTAAATCCTAAAAGGGAAAGTGTTTTTATTCGAAAAGTGACGTGAATCATAATTCAAACCTTCCTTACTATATTAAATTGCACACGATACAACTATCGTGACATGCCAATTCTTCTTGATATCAGTTTCTTCCGAATAGCTTCACTTTCTTCAGTTTAAAAAATAGCGGTAAAGAAGAATTGATGTTTCTGCCAATAGTAGTTGTCTGCGGAAGCAAGGATTGCAATTACGCCCGTT